GATTGTCCTACTCTGCACAGTCTATTTAGTGATTTCCATATAGGACAAAGTTGTTTTTGACCAGGTGGCAGACAGTTGTATGGCTGCCTACTGGGCAGACAGTTGCCCGCTAGCTCCTTACTCACCTTCCATAGTTTTAGGGTGATCTGTTGCAGCCAGTTGTTAGGAAGGACAGAAGTTTTGAGAAAACCATACCTCATTTTCAGCCTTGACCTTGGGGGATTGATGGCCATATAGTAGGTGTTTTTGGGAATGTCGCTAATAACCACACATTCTGTGCAGTACTTCGTCAGCAAAATTTTTTGGGGGGAGGGGGGCACGAATACCAGATAGATAATGCATCTTTTATATTGGGGTTGGTGTTACGACATCCTGTGACCAGTTTTGCTGCTTCATTTAGGCCCACATCCACTTATTTTGCATGTTTTAATCTAAGAGAAATATGGGGCTTATGCAGATGTTCTTAATGTGTTTAGTTGGGCACCGCAACTTATGCCCATTATTTCCTCAAAATGCTGTTCCTAGCAAGTATTTTCTGTTTGGTATTAAATAGTGATTCTTAAAGGTAAGTGTGAGGTCCAGAATTACTCCCAGATACTTTAGAGCAGTGCAATGTTCAATGTTCTTTTTGTATTATTTCCAGATGGTACCTCACTGGATACATAGAACTACAGCTCATTTCCTTCACTATCATTATTGTATGTGGAAAAGTAATAATGTCCAGTTCATGTGTTTTGGTAGGTCTGTGGCCAAATACAACAAATTGCCCTATCAGAGAAATGGAGAAGCATCACTATTGTGCTAATTAAATCATTAACTGACCAGTTCAAAGCAGTTTAAGACTGGATTACTTATAATTCTGCCAGTACTCCCTAAACTCCAGTCCAGCTGAATCTGATTAAAGACATTAGTGTTTAAATCTAGAATGTTCTATATACAATAATTTGTTCTCCCATGAAATGATAGCTCCTCTATGCTCTTGCTTATTATCAGATCATGTAAAAAAAAAACCAATTCCTTTAGATTTTATCTTTGTTATTTTCTATCATAATCATCTCTGCCTAAGGCAGAGGCAGCTCTTCCTCAATCTTGAAGTATTACAACCATCAGAATTTGCACTGTGAGGTACATGCCAAAACATATGAAAAACACTTTGCTGAGGAAGTTTTATGTGACTAATGTCAGTTTCCATACAGGTAGTCTTCTACTTAGAACCATTCATATAATGACCAAAGTTAAAATGTCACTGAAAAAGTGACTTAGAATCATTCCTCACACTTATGACCACTGCAGCCTCCCAAAAGTCATGTAATCAAAATTCAACCAACATGCTTCAGTGTCCCAAGTCACGTGATTGCCATTTGCAATCTTCCCTGCCAACTTCCAACAAGCAAAGTCAATGGGAGGAAGCATGATTCGCTTAATGACCATGATTCATTTAACAACTATGGCAAATAGGTCATAAAATCAAGTGCAACTCACTGCCTAGTTTAGCAATGGAAATTCCTGGTTGTATGTCAAGAACTACCTGTACTTCAACTGAGATTGTAATAGCGTACAGTGCTACTGTTTGGAGTTTTAGGCAACAAACAATGTCCTCTTTTAGAGTGCCCCATCCATTTATTCTTTGAATTAGTCTTCATCTCCTTTCATCCTACACTTGGGGTTGATTTTGAAAATATCATCCCACCTAGAATTTTTTTTCTCCATTTATTTTCCTCTCTTATATTTCTGGAAATCTTGAGGTTTCTGAAACTTGCTAATGTCTTTTCTTTCGCAGGGATGATGCTGTATCTCAGTCCCACTAGTTAGATCAGACCAGGAAACTATGTTTAAGAACAAGTAGTTAGATAATATTTGGGAAAAGGATAAGACAATTGTGCTGTCCTCTGATTTGCTCAGTAACTGCTTCTCTTTTCTCAAAGACAAAATGCACAATTTGGGAAAATTCTCTTAGACTCAGCACAAGTCTCCACACTGCACCCACAAGGAATTGATCTGCTTATGCTGTACCACAAACTATGGCTGCTTGAGAAACCATTATTGATTCTTTTTTTAAAAACCAATCTACTTTTAAAGACAGTTTGGAAATTTCAATTAGTATAGAATGCTTGAATAATGTAGGAGCCAGGTATTCAGATCATAGTTCACTGTTGTGTGTCCATCACATTGGCTACTTATTTGCTTCTGTATTTAAATTGTTATTGTCCTTTAATATCCTAAAATTTTGAAATAAGCTACTACTTGCTTCAGCATTAATTTTAGAAGCTCTCTTGGATGTTATCAGATTCAATAGACACTAGAGACTGTGCCTTTTCAGCAGTGCATTCATATCTTTGTACCAGTATCTTGAAAATATAAAGGTACAATGAAATCTATTTTAAGTGAGGTGCAACTCTTGGTGATTGCATTCATACTGTTTTCTTGGCAACAGCACAAAAGTGCTTTTAAAACACTTAACTTTAATTACTAAAAGTAATTAACTTCTAGGGTTCTTTTGTAAGCTCTCCAGCCTGTCTAACTTACAGTCCTGAGATTTCTTAGTGTTTTCTATGAAAGTATTGCTCGTATCTACTACGCTTAGCTTCTTCAAGATCAGAGAAGGTCAAAGGATGCTGCCACCTGCTGAGACTTTTCTTTAAGGCAGAACACATTGCCCACATTTCAACTTCTGTTCATAAAACAGTGTAATGATACATTTTAAATCTGACATTTAGTTGCACACTGTTTAAAATATATTTGCAAACCTCCCTGCAAGAAAATGAGGACATTAATTTCTTAAAATTTAATTGATCTATGAGAGGTAAACAGTACTAAATTCTACATGAGTTAGAAAAGTATTTTTCAATGGCTAAAGAAGAATAATTGTCCTTGGAGAAAAAGTAGAAAATGAAGGACTTTGGTTATAGGCTTAATTCTGCTAGAACTGTCATTCTTCCAGCCATCACAGTAGAAAAGAGAGAGAGAAAAAAAGAGCTGTTTTCTGTAGTTTTGTTTTTAAATTCTTTGATGGAGAATCTTCTAAGAATGTGGACTTGAGATTTTAACAAAATAATTTTTAACAAAATTATTACTATATAAGCTAAAATTATTATATTTCATCAATTCCTATCTTAATATTTACTTGGTTATCTCACAGGAAAGGAAATGCCCTGCAGAGAAAGTCTTCCTTACCATTATACAGAGCAGAGTTGACAACTCCACCAACAATCGCCAGACCCAAGCCGAGTTTGCCCACAGTCTCAAAAATTTTGGAAGCCATTAGTGTCAATATAAGTCTTGCTTCTGTTTTCTGATACAATCACACCTATGCAGGTAGGGGGGAAAAATCCAGTAATAAGAAAAGTTGGAGCAAAGAAATGGCTTCTCAGAAATGGCTTTTCTGCATAAACAGCAGCTTCTTATCCCTACATTTTTTTAAAAAAAAAAAAAGTTTCACAGGATACAGTAGTTACTTAAGAATGCTATTTGGATAATTTAAGATACAATCCCTGCAATAATATGCAACAATCCAGAGTTTAAGGGGAAAAATTATTAGAATGCTGATATATCTTTAAAGAAATCATGTGATTTCAGGAAAAGGCATGCTTGATTTAAGATGATCTTGAATGTGCAATGTGAACACCCAAATCACCTTCTCCTCTTTGAATCCAGATTACTGCACAGCCCTAGCAATTTTCCAAATGCAGTATCTTCTGTCTGCATTATATATAGAACATTTCCAAAAACTTATTCTCCTATATTTGGGAATATCAGAACCTAGAATTAAATTGGTTAAATTAGTAGATTTAATCTTTTAAAATTACTCTTTAATGCCACAATAAAATGTTCTTATTGGATACAAATGATGGAAGTGTATTAAGATAATAAGATAGTCTACTCAAATTAGTCCAGGCACATTTTTTTCTGTCTTGGGGCAATTAGCAAATACATTAAGAAGACAAATTGGCAAATTAATAAGTATGCCTAACTATCTGACCAATCTTCATCAGTCTCTTTAACACATGTGACTTTCAAATGTTTCACCCTGAGGAAAACTCCCAACAATGGTCTCTACATTCAGTACCACAATGTGTTCTGTGGACACATTGTTAGAATCCTGTACTGTTCATACAAGGGTCTGTTAAAGCTTGATGGGTCTGATGGACTCCTATTTCCTAAAGACAGTACACATTCTACACTCCTTGGGTGTCCTAGGCTGTGGGTTAACTCAGTAGCTGTGGCAAGCTTTTTTTACTGAGTAAATCTAGTGAACAAAAACTCTTTTAAGATTATAGCCTTTTCCAAAGCTCTTTAATATAAATTTCCACAGCAACTTTTATTCTAGCCAATCTCTCCCTCTCTCAGGAACCCGCCCTTTGCAAATCCTGTCTAATCCCTACTGAAATAGATAAAAGACACCCCAAGCATCTTGCTTCACTCCGGTTCTGGAAGAGTACAGGAGCATGTGCAATTCTTTTTATTTGCAGAATCCGCCCATCCCCCCAAATCCCCTGACCTGCACCCCAGCCATTTCTCCATTTTGTGGTCATGCTTTTTCCATCTGCGGCTCAGAACGCTCATTTGCGAGAATTCTGCACCGCATCCGTTCCAGCAAGACCCAAATATCAGGATTTCTTTTCAAGCATGCTTTTGCATTTCATCACGCCGCGCTTTGCTAATTTCTCCGCAATTATGTCACAACAAAAGACAGACCCAGTTCAGCGGAAGGGAAAAGAAGGCAAAGCTCGACGATTCTTAGGCATAACTCACCTCCTAAGGAAGAATTGACCTCCACATGAAGACTCCACCGAGCCACCTGGTCCCTCTGTACTTACGCACAAGGCGCACCCGAGCGTCGGCCCTTGCTAGCTGCGGCAGTGCCTGACGGGATTCGTAGTTCTTTGAAGTACAAAGTACAAAACAATAGCCTCAGCACCATGGGCCATGCGCGAGCAAGATGGAACTTCGAATCCCGAACGGCACCGCGATGCAAAGGCCCGCCCTTTCCTATTGGCGCACGCCGCAGGGCTTCCTGGGAATGGTTCGCAGATTGAACTGAGCCAGGCGGTAAGCACGAGGGAGCGCGTTCACGAGGTGAACGTGGGAGCGCGTGAATTTTTTCCCCTCCCCTCCCCCCCTCTTCCGTTTGGAGCTGAAAGTCCTACACGTGTTTGAAGAATATGTAGCGGGAATAAAAAAAAAACAAAACGAAGCTGTTCATGTGACACAACTCATGGTTTACTTAACCATGGTTTATGAAATGTATGGGGTGGTGGATGAGAGTCTAATCATTGATAGTTAGCACAGTGAAGTTTGCAGTTTAGTTCTATTAATAGTTAAATTATAATTATAAATTATAATTATAATTTAAGTCATGCCTTTTCTCCAGGCATTTACTTGGCAACCCATTGCTCTTAGTTTCAACTACCAAATTTACTTAACATCTTTTAAAAATTGTCTATGGTTGTATTATAAAAGTATTAGCACTATATGCAAACTAATAAGAGTAACATTGCTGCTCCAACCTTAGCACTGAATATACCAAGTGCTGTTTCATCCAAAAGCTGAAAGATTTTCTTGTTTTCAATATGTAAAGATAACTTTCATGGGCAAAGATAAGTTGCCCTTTTTTTCTCCAAATTGAGATAGATAGAATCATACAACCAAATGATTTTGTTAATTAGGGTGTCATGAAAATATAACATAGCCATATGACTAATCTATGCTTCAGGTGCAATTTTAATCCAGAAAATTGGATTGGTCACATATTCTAGGCTCCTTTAAGAACTATAATTCAAAAATAAAAATTGAAAAGTACAGCTACTGTGTTCAACTTTTTAAGTCGACTGAATTGAAGGAAACAATTTTTTCAAAGAAACGTTTAACTAAAAGATCAAGAAGATACCTTTGCTTTTCATCATAATTTATATCTATGCATACAGTACAGAAGTATATGTAAGGGTTGTCCCCCATCTAAACGAATTATGTTAGTAATGGTTGACTATTTTACCCATGTTGACAAATCTGCATTCAGTGCATCAGATCATAGTTCTTGTACCAATAGATTCATGATGCTTGTATATTTAACCAAGAGAACAGTTTTCAATGAACAGTGATCACATTCCAATTGATGGATAGCCAATATTAAACATCACTGTATTTTTTTTCTCCCACCCATTAGTCTTCCTTCAGGAGGAAAAAGTTTACCCATTTAAAGCATAATACTTAAAATACAAAGGTAAGAGGGTTGCATTCTGACATAGGTACCAATAATTCCTTAGAACAGTGGCCCCCAACCTTTTGGGCACCAGGGACTGATTCTGTAGAGAAAGATTTTTCCATGGACCAGATGGTGTGGTTTTGTGTGCTGCCTACATCTCGCAGGTGGGGCTTTGCTTGTTTGCATGGCCCGGTTTCTGGCATGCTGCGGCCCGGTGCCGGTCCAAGTACCAGAGTTTGAGACCCTGCTCTAGAAGTTATGTGGTTGGGATTAATGTTGAAAACATCTCTATGTACTTTTATGTATTGCCCTGCTCATTCATGCATAACATATTGAACGAAGTCTGTTATATAATGGGGAAAAACAGCTAATTGCTCCATGACATGCTTGGAGGGATAGTCACAGATACTTTTATCTATAGCTTTTGCTGTTGCTTGGAAGTTTTGAAAAATGGTCATGTGTTGGCTTTAATAGCAAATACCAGAAAGTTTAATGATTAAGAGGTTACAATCTGAGGCCCAGAGTTGGGTATAACATTAGATAAAGCCCACCACTATCAGAAATTTGTATGTGGTAATATTAATATAAAACTAGAGAACAAATAAATATATTCAATTGAATTTAGACTTAAATGCAAATGAAATGGAACTGAATTAGTTTTTGAACTGAATGGAGTCACCACTTTTTGGAATATGACCCCCAGTTCATCTAAGCAACAGTTGTCTCTTTAAAAGTTGCACAATCCCTGTGTAATTACTTACAAAGATATATGCTTCCTAACCAAACACTATGTCACTAGTGGCTTTTAGTAGATTTTTCTCTATTGCCTTGTTAATTTGGCATTCAGAATCTAGTGAGAAATTTTGTTTTGCAATAGGACGTAGGTTAATCTTAAAAAAAAAAAACACCATTCAGCTTGCCTGTAAAATAGCCTATTTCAGTTGTTTCAAGATATACTGCAAACAGTAAGACACTGCAATATTTTCAAGAAAGAACTTGCAAATCAGAGAGGCCAATTTGGGGTGACTAAATCTTTTGTGTTTTCATCCAGGGGTAACAGGAGGTAAAATGGTCCTTAGTTTCTTTTAGCTTCCCCATGCTTTGCTGTTTTTTCTGAATTAAACTAAGCCAGTGATGGCTAACCTTTTCTGGACTGAGTGCCCAAAGCATGCGTGCAGATGCATGCGCGCACACCCGAACCTCCAAAATGCAATGTGTGTGCAGCCCCTGTGCATGCACCCTGCCACCACGTATGCACCCCTCCCTGTGCATGTGTGCGCATCCCTATGCACAGCAGAGGCCTGAAGACCAGCTGGCTGGCGGGAGATGGGCTCGCATGCGTGGCAGAGCTGAACTGGGGCAACAGCTTGTGTGCCCACAGAGAGGGCACTGTGTACCATCTCTGGCATAGGTTCACCATCACGGATCTAAGCCAACCGAGTAGGGATCTAAAGTGGGAGCATAATTTCTTCCTGCCACCTCTATTTCCATTTAATAGAAATGAAGATACTATCCTGCTTAAAATCAAATCGAGAAGCATTTCTTAGCAAATACTTCCGTGATTTGAGTTAGTTTAGTGTTTATTATCAAGATAGTAAAGAACAAGCTAAACATTTTGCTGAGCATCTGTGAAGTTTTATTAACATTTTTAAATGCTCTCAGAAGAGAACTATCCTGCTGAAGGTTTTCCTATTTACAAAATAGCTACCAAAGGAAACTGCTAAAGTGTTATTTATTACTCCTAATTCATCTTTTAATTTTACTAATCAAGTGGTCACTTTTTCAAAGTGCTAGGCTTCAGCTGTTTACCATTTTTCAACATCCATAAAGTGTATGTGGGATCCGTAGACATTCCTGTATACGTGTATGATGCTAAAATTTAGCACTGTGCAATGTGTTGGCTGCCACTTTAATATTTTCTAATTGCAACATTTAAAACTAATAAAATATTAGACAGAGAATCCTGTGACTGTAAAGGGAGACTACTGTGTTGCTCCAAATGTTAATTCGGTCAAATCTTAGTATTGTTCAAGGGCTTGAACTTTAGTTACAAAGAAGATTTTTAAAATCATTTAAGAATTAGATCCAAATAAAAATATTTGTTTCCATTGCTTGGCTCATCATTCCTGAGTCAATAAGGAAGATAGTGATACTTGTAAATATGAGCAGAATGTCACTGGATGATTCTCTGATCCACCTGATACCCTGAAAGAAAATATCTCACATACAAAATGATGTCTTTGATGGCATTTCTATCTCCATCTGTTCACCACTACCCCGCCTTTTTTTTTTTATTCTCTTTTAGCTGACTGTGGTTCAAACCTCCATTAAGCACTAAGTAGGCAGAATCAAAGCAATTGGCCATTATATCGCTTCCATTAAAAATGAAGAAAAGGCAGAAAATTGCCTTCTTTACTTCAACATATTGCTGAGAGAGCAACATTTCTAGGAATAGAGCACAGAAAAAAAGAAGCCAAGGGATCTGCTGACTGAGCACCTTTGGGAGGCATAATACACTCACCTGTCTTACCAGGAACAAGAATGATTGATTCTGAAGCCAATATCAATGGCAAAAGGTTTTCTTTTCAGCACCGTGTTTGGTTTCTCACAACTGCATTTGTTAGGGGCTGGACCCCATTTTGTTTTTAAGTGATAAAAGAAGAGCCTTGCTGATCTAAAAGCTATGTAATCAAAAGTCCAAAGTAGCTAATTTAGTGCCTCTGAAAAGACAGAAAGCAAAATGCGAGCACAATACTATTAGGCATTCTGCTCAGCAACAATCAACATTCAAAGCCTAGCTGTAAAGAACCAAGATGATAAGCAGCCCTATCTTACTTGGCAGCCTTGCCCTTAAATTTTGGATTATTATTCCAAGCCCATGAAAATGCTTTATTAAGGCTACTAGAGGTAGCATCTAATAGTCATCCATTCTTTTGTAGTGCAGATCTAAAAGCCTAGAGTGAAAAATGTATGATGCAATATGATAAGCTATAATGGGGTTCAGCCTAGCATGATATCCAGTTGTAGACCATAGATTAAATAGCAGATAAGAAGGAACTGCTTATTCCAAATTTGTAATGAAGATTTGCTCTAGGATTACTGATTTAAAGCAGAGTTTGATATGTCACTGGGCAAGAAACATTAGGCTATGGTTAATTCTTTCTTTTGGCTTCTGGCAAAGAGATAGGATGGACTTTGAGACTATTGTGGCTTCTGCTTTTCATGGATCTTATTTCTCTGATATAGCATAGATGGGTGACTGCTTACATTTAATGAATAGTAGACTTCGCTGGGCTAAGATCATAGAACTTTCATGTTGCCAGGGGAGAATCTTGGTCATTACTAGTACTATTATCCTCTCCATCTGGCTCCAGTTTTTATCAGCTTATGCTGATGTGTCCACTATCAGTGTCCTTCCAGATACTCTTTCTTCAATGTTCCTTATCCTAGTGTTGGCCCAGCCCAAATCTGGTTGGTTCATTTCACTCGATGCAAGTAGCCAAAAATCACACATAGGTGGGTGGGAACATATTTCATACTTTATTTCTGTACAGAATTAAAGAATTCACTTCGGACTAGAGTCAAATTACATTAGCAGTTTCAAACTGTTTGAAAGCTAAAACTAAAAATGATAGACTCGATGATAAATTCATCTTTTGTGCGGTTTGACCTTGTGGATGCAATATTGTACCTATAAGGTCAAAAGTATGTGCCTCCACATTAATGAAGGAAAAATTTAGTGACATTCAATATTTTAGGAAGAATTGTAATTTTTACGTAATTCAACCAATTTAGCAGATTTCTTGGTTAAAATAAATGTTGAGCAATACACTTTATTTTTAGGATTATTTTGGTTTAAGAATATTACTGCGATAGGAAATAGATGTGGTTTTACTTTCAAATACATTGTGATTGTCATTACATAGATCCATTTATTTTTCAAAAAATACACAGATTTATTTAAATTTAATTAAATCTTTGGGTTAATCAGTTAAAAGGCAAATGATCAAACAAGGAGATAGCTCTTGGGGTTTTTAAAGGCTACAATTAAGTAGTCTTTTAAATCTTGTTAACACAAATTACTTATTTAAAGAGACTGTGCTATCATTCACAATAAGATTGTGGATAGCTGATAAATACTTTAAAATTGAAAATAAATGTTTAAAACAACAACAGGTAAACAATATTGCATTGAATACAGCATCGTGAAATTTTAAAGTTCCATTGCAGCATAAAAGCTGTGAATAGTTTTTTTATGATTTAATGATAGCTTATTTTTAAAAAAAATTAAATTAGAGTTCCTAATAGTGCAGCTATCCTTTCCTAATTGTTTTGGAAGCACCAGTTTTGTGGGTAAGAAAGTAGCAATTGTGTATAAGATCATTTGTATTCATTCTGCTTAGTAAACCTCAAGACCGAGAGAATTCTTACAAGCACGAAATTTGCAGCCCATATTGCTGGTTCTTATTCTGCTTCTGTTGCCTCTCTTTCAGCTCACTTCAGGCACCTGATTTCCCTCAACAATAGCTGAGGACAAAGGCTGCCCATCTGATGGAACTGGAATAAGGGAGAAAGTCCTTCTTTAGCCCCAGTTCAGCTAAAGACCATTAATGCTGGGGCTGGGGATAAGGTAAGGGCAACATCATGGGGATGTGGCAGATTTATTTTGGCTAGGACTCATTTGTTGATACAATTAAAAACAAGTGGAGAAAGGCATACAGCAGTGTTTCTCAACCTTAGCAGTCTGAAGATATGTGGACTTCAGCTCGCTAGCTGGGGAATTCTGAGAGTTGAAGTCCAGGCATCTTCAAGCTGCCAAGATAGAGAAACATTGCCTACAATCATGAACAAATTGTTTATTCAAGGTAGACTTCCATCCCATCTTGATTTCCTTCTCTTGCAAATGTTGCTGCTCTTGAATGGCCACTGGGAGGCATCCTTGTCCTCTTCTGTAATCTGACTTTTGTGGGTGATGATGACAAATTATCAGAGTTGCTAAAAAGCTGAAGCAAATGTTTTATCCCCAGACTGTATTCCAAAAAAGGGGAAATAATGCTTGCATATATGTAGCTCAGTTCAATATCAGCTAACTCCTACTAAGCTTCCCTCTCTCTGTACTGTGTCTTAGGCACTTCTAGCATTTTCCCCTTCATCCTGCCTTCAGCTTAATACTTCCAAGCATGGGGTCTTCATTAAGTCTCAGAGTTAGTGATTTGCGAGAAAGCAGCTTGGATTTTGACATCCATCAGGTATCATATAAACATAAGAGGAATAAGAGAGAGAGAATGGGGAGGGGGGAGTTGGGGTCAGAGAGAATCAGCCACTAATGGAGGGTTCTCCTTGTTCAATGACACAGCACTGATTTATGAGCTTTTAAATAAATCATTTTTATTGCCGTCTCTTTGTCTTGCTCTCCTACATTTAACCCAAAGCATCAGTCAGAGACTGTGGAGGGTCTCTGTTTGCACCAGGCATTGGGGATTGCATCCCTCCAGTATGAACTGTTCTTGTAATGAATCCTAAATTTCCTTTTGCTTTTTTCTAGTGATCACGTATATGAATTCACAAGAGGTAAACTTAGATTGGTAGCAGCTGAGTTTAACTTTTAACTTCCTCCTTCTTGGTTACTTACTACTCATCTTCCCTTATCTTCTATTGCATGAGGCGCGGTGGCTCACTGGCTTAATGACGTTGCATGGTCTCAGCTCTGGCGGTTCGAGCCCAAGCACTGCATGGCAGGGTGAGTTCCTGTTGCTCTCCTCAGCTTCTGTTGAGTTAACGGTTAGAAATCATATTCTATGTAAGTAAATAGATAGGTACCACTTCAGTGAGGAGACAAGCTGGTGCTCTGTGCAGGCAGTCAGATTCCTGAGGGCTCTGAATCTTCCCGGTTGAGATGCCCATTTGTGAGGCAGCTCCGGGAAGGGAAGGGGCCTTGGGTGACCCTGCAGGAAGAGCAGCTCATCTTTATCGCTGATGTGAAGCCAGCTTGCCCTCCTATGACGCACTTGGGAAGCACATAAGGATGTCCTATGACAGGGCTGGTATCTTGGGAAGCCAAATTACTACTACTACTTTGCAACAGCACTGTGGTCTCCTGCCAATTGAAACAATGCCATTCACTAATAATAATTATCATTATCAGCTATAGCACAATATAGTTGAACTTGTTCTGTTTTCTTGAGAAACATATGAAAGTAGTTTACTATTATCTTCCAGCTTTTTGATTTCTAAGTCTAGCCTATAATGCTGATAATCTCTTAACAAGATACTAATTAGGCCCAAACCCCAACTTATCCAGGCTTAAATCAAGAGCTATTGTGCCTAAACCAAGGGTTTTCCCCCACTTGCACCTAACCATGACAGAAACATGCTCTGATAACCTCTTTTTTTCCTACTGGTTCCCCCTGATCTGCCTTTATCTGATTTTCAAGCCATTGTGAATCAACCTTAAATAATCCTCAGCTATTCTAGTGTTAAATTAGAGTTTTCCTTCTTATTCCAAGGTATTTTCTGCCATGGATTCAATTGGGGGCCTTTCAATCATTTCATCAGTTGTTCAGTCAGGTGCTCCATAGGGTTGGTGGGATCAGCCAACTTCCCATTAGCTATTTTAGGTTGGTGCAGTGGTGCAGGCACATACCCACTGTTCTGATACCTCCAGAACTTTCCTCCAGAACTATTTTGGTGAGGCCTGTGGCTCTACCCCAGATCCCCCATCAAAAACTAAAAGATACATCAACCAACTAATAGGTGACAGGTGCAAAGAGCAAGCTGGGAAGTGGCTAGTAATTTACCAGGAGAGAAAGTCACTGTGCCACACAATCCTTCCTACCATGTCTGACAATGTTAGTTGGGCTACTTTTATTACAGATTTAATGATTTGACCCTACATTTAAAAACAGTCTGACAGGTGTATGTGGTAGTAGGAGAGCATAGTGCAGCCTGCTTGGTTTTGCAGCAGAGAGGGATAGTGAGATAGTGAGAGTCTATCATTGAAGCACACAGCCCTCCAGTGCTTGTCACCTGTTAAGTAAGGTTGGCTGGAGGAGATGTTGGGAAAAGTGGAAGAGCTGAACTAAACAATCTATAAGCACAATGGAAAGGGTTTTACAGTGCAGGAGAAGTTTTTGACCATGGTGAGGATGTTTCCAAACAGACTTCTGGTTGACGTCACGGCGAGAATGGCTGGAAAATAGTGGGCTCTGCCGAGCCCTGCGCAATCCAGCCAGCAACTGCTGTCGGGAGACCCTACGGGGTCCAAACTGCCTTGTAGGGGCGGCGAAGAGAGGAGAGGCGTTTTGTGGACCATGAGGAACTCGCAATTTCCTCGTTAGGTCCAAAGCAAGCTCTCCTGAGTGGCAGCAGGAACAACGTCCATTTTTGGCTAGTCACAAGCTGGGACAACAGGGACCACAAGATTTGTGCTGGAGCGGTCTGTGGACAGAGCATTGAAGCTGGGTAAGATAACTTCCAACATTTACTTTAAAGACTTAAGTACAAGAATTAAAAAAAAAATACTCCAAGCATTAAGGAAGTGGCGATTAGACACACGGAGAAGATTAAAGACTAAAAATTAAGAGGCGAAAGAAATGCCCAAAGGAAGCTTTAAAATATAGAAAGCTGGAAAAAAAGCTTGAACAATTTAAAAGGTTATTTTTGGAAGAACTGTCTCATTTGTATTTTTAAACCCCCTGGATTTATCAGAGAATCAACTGTTTTTGACATACTGTTTAATGTTGGAATTGGGAATGGGAGAGCCATCTACTGGAAGAAGAGGAGCATTACAGCAGGAGAATTTTCAAAGAAAGTGTATTATGTCTAATACACATAACAGAAGAAAGTAATAAGCACTTGGAAGACGGTTTGACCTTGATTCTATTTTAGAAGGCGATTTGGATATTTTGAAATTCTCAGTGAGCTTCTTTTCATTTTTGAAGATTTTTAAGATGAACTAAATTGCAGATTTAAATTGCAGATAATTAAACTCTATTGAAATTGGTTATTGGATTGTGGATTTGAAAATTGGAGAAAACCTAGTGGATTAACTTGGACTTGGATTATTAATGCTATTTGATAGAACATTCTCCGAGGCAAAAGAAGAAAGGTGATAGAAGAAAAGACAAAATAAAAGTTAAATAAGACTTTAAAATCTGGACAATTGGGAAGATAAATAATTGGAAAATCAAAAGACTCTAAAATATTGAAGAACCTTAAAGATTATAAATTTAGGGGATTGGAGGTATAAACTATGGGATTGACTAAATCTTATTAATAATTGGCTTTGTTGGAGTTTTGAAACTAAGACATTGGAACCATAGAGAGATATTGAATAATTATATATTAATAAAATGGAAAAGTAGAAAATACAAATAGGAAAAATAGTAGTATATATACACTAATAGACAATAGAATTTATTATATTTAAAAATAAGCTAAGGTTAAAAGATTTATAAGTTTATAAAATTAACTGTATTAAAATATATTATGAATCCAAACTTTTAAGGATTATAAATTGTGGGGATTTTAAGATATAATCCCAGGATTGATTAAATTTTGTTAATATTAGGCTTTATTAGTAGTCCTAAACATTTGGGATATCGAAATTATGGTGGAATAATGAGTAATTTTTAAATATTAAATATTAGTTACTTAATAGTGGATAACAAATAAATGGTGCAAAGAAATGTTATTTATGTTTAAATGTATTAATGGGAAAAAACGATGAAGAATTATAAAGAGAGAATGGTATGGTGAAGTTGGAAGATTAGGACTACATATACTTATTTGTATTATTGTTGTTAACGTTGTTAAAAAAGGACATTGACCCAGTCAATACACTGTCCACAAAATATGTATGATGTGAAAAGAAAACTGTAAATAAAACATGAATTATTATATTTTTTAAAAAAAGGATGTTTCCAAACACAAATTTAGCTGTGGTGCACGTATCAGATATTTGTTGTCAACTCTTCTTTGCTATACCTCCCAGCCTGGGAGAGATGCAGCTGAAAGAGGAGGTGACCCAAATTTCTCATCCTACAGAGGAGTTGTTCTGCGGGTAAAGAGCTTATTTTCCCTGTTACCTGACACTTCTTACAGCCTGGGCAGATGAAGAGGGCAGAGGGCAAGTTCTGACAGATGTTAAACCTGTGCTTTCCTAGGCAGAAAGGGAGCATGGTTTTAGTATTTTAATCTAGCTCCTGTTCGCTATGCTGATTTAGATTCCTACTGGCTCAACTTGGTGGAGAATACTGTGGACTCATTCTTATATTCCTGTATCCATAACAATAAGATGCCCTGTTAAGAATATTTACATGGCATTGCTCCATGGCAATCATGTTGTCCCACCCTAAGCCCAAAATATTAAAATTGTTCTTAGCTGTTCCAGTTCCCCTGTCCCAACATAATTTTTGTATTGGACATGTTATAGAGTGGTTTGTCAATGATGTGGTCATGGGCTGGGAGGCATGGCCTCTCCAGCCAGGGGGCACTGTCTTCCATATCCATTAGGCCTATTCTGCTTGAAAACTGCCTGTGTCCATTTTTTGAAATGTTTCTAAAGATTTATGGGCTTTTTACATGTATATGCTCTTTTGGGGAAAAAAAAAACCTAGACCTGTTTTTTAAACACAAGTTTTATACTCTTTTCTAGAGAGCACTCATCCTCTGCTTGAACAAAAGTTACATTTATAGCAATAGCATTTAGACTTATATACTGCTTCACAGAGCTTTACAGCCTTCTCTAAATGGTTTACAGAGTCAGTATATTGCCCCCAACCAGTGGTGAAATCCGAACCGGTTTGCTACCAGTTTGCTGTGCACCAAATGCGTGCTATGTGCACATGCACAGTGTGCACTAAACATGCACTCTGCATACGTTCACACGTGCAGTACGCACCAAAAAGAGGCTTGGGAAGGTAAGTAGAAATGAGGGGCGGGGGATCAGCTGTGGCGCGCGATTTAGCTTTGCTAGAAAGCAGGATTTCCTGCTTTCTAGTAAAGCTAAATCCCACTGCACAGCTGATCGTCGGAAATACAGGTTCCCCCGAACCGGTAGTTTTTATTACTACTAGAGTAATAATAACTAGAGCCCGAACTAGAGTGAACCGGTAGCATTTCACCCCTGCCCCCAACAGTCCTCATTTTACCGACCTTGGAAGGATGGAAGACTGAGTCAACCTTGACCCTGGTGAGATTCGAACTGCCAAATTGCAGGCAGCCGACATCAGCAGAAGTAGCCTGCAGTATTGCATTCTAACCACTGAGCCACCACTCTTATTTGGAAAAGTGAACCCTATTCTGCTAGCTGAACGATATTGGTTCTGCCACTATGTATATTAAACATTTTCTGCTGTCTGCCAACAAGGGTGTTCACATAGCATGTGTTTGTTATTTGAGGGGAAGGGATTGTGCACTTCTGCCAACTCTTAACATGGTTTGGTCTGCTCCATGGATTATTTCAGGTGCTACCAGACAACAGTTTCTTGTTAATTCTACAGTTCTCTTGTAGTTCTAATCAAGATTGGAGCGTGTGCTTACTGAGGGTTCCTTTGTGTATTACCCAAATACAACTTCCACTTTTACTAATCTGACAGGTATTGAGCCTTGAACTCAGGCTGAAGGGAGAATCCCCCAATCTTTCTTGCAAACCCTCTATTGTGCCTTCAGTTTGTCATTTAGGCTGTTTCTGAATTTAGTGCCCACTTAATAGTATATTAAACCAGTATCCAAAAACATTCCAGGTGACAAATTGCAGGTATGGAAAAGGAGAGGAAATGAAAAAGGAGGAAGATTGGGGACACTACCCTATTCCCAGGGAATTTGAGCAGTGGATATACCATGTTTCCCCGGAAATAAGCCCTACCCTGAAAAGAAGCCCTACCCTGATTTTTAAGCATGTGCCTAATATAAGCCCTACCTCCAAAATAAGACCTACTTAACAGCCTGTGCAGCTTGCTGCCTATCCATTCCGTCTGGTTGCTCGCGGTGCTGCTGATGAGGTGAGGCAAATGGAGGGGTGGAGCTGCCCCACGCGCCCTGCACCGGCTTACCTCAGGGCTCCTGCAGCCAACTATGTCCAGCAGGAGGCCATGTGGTTGCCAGCCCACTTCTTCTGCTTGCCTGCATTTGTAATGGAGGAGGAGGCCGAGCAACACGTTGGTGCCATGGCCATGAGGTAGGGCAGATGTTGGGGCATGGATGGCTTGGCTGCGGGGGCCCTGAAGTAAGCCAGTACTGGGCATGTGGGGAAGTTCCACCCCCACTCGCCTTGTGACTGTGGTACCGGCATGTTGCTCGGCTTCCTGCTGTATTGCGGCTACGAGCAGGCAAAAGTAGGCCAGTGGCCATGTGGTATCCTGCTGCACATGGCTGTTGGTGCTGCTGCCGTGAGACAGTTGTCAGGGTGTGGATGGCCTGTCTGCTGAGGCCCTTAGCTAAAGCTGGATGTGGGGCACATGGGACAGCTCCCACCCTGCCTTGCGGCCGTGGCACTAGCACACTGCAACCTCCTGCCCCGTTGCAGCTGCAAGCAAGCAGAAGATATGGGCCTTCCATACATGGAGGAAAAAAAATAAAGACATCCCCGAAAATAAGCCCTTGTGCTTATTTTGGGGAAAAAACTCCCAAATATAAGACCAGGTCTTATTTTTGGGAAAACACGGGTATCTTCTATCTCAGGCATTCGGTTACATTTCTCCATTCCCATCCATATATGGACAGGAGACCAATGAGTGATTGCTTTTCCTCCCAGCAGGTAGTGGTTGGTAGGAGGAGAAATGAAATCAAGGAAATTGCTTACATTAATCTATTCTGCATTAAATCTGTAAGGGCAGTATCAAGTATAGCTGAACCGGGTTTGGCTGTGAGGTCAGTAGAATTTAGTAGTTTAGGAATGCAGATGAACATGGTCTTGAGAAAGAACCCTTTAAATGAGTTTTGGAGAAGAGGTCTAAATCAGGCAGGATTACCATCCGCTGAAATATTTTGCCATCTATTTGCTTTCTTTTTGTTCAGTAGGAAAACTATACCTGAGTAACAGATGTTTCCATTGCTTCTAATGTCCATATTTTAAGAATGTCCACATAGAGACATAATACAATCATAAAGCTTGAGAGAAATTTAAAAGTGTTTAATTTAACAATGAAAAAAAACACCCTCTATATCATTTCATGAATTGCAAAATCAGACAGAGAGAGCTTCTGCCCTTATATGAAATGCTCCCGGTTCGGACCAGATTGCCCGATCCAGTAGCGATGGTGGCGGGTAGTTTGGAGAACTGGTAGCAAAAATTCCTGCCCCCCCCATGCCCAGCTGAGCCGCGCGATCACCAGAGGCTTTTTTTTTTAATTTTTAAAAGCATTTTTTCTACAACCTCTTTGGCTGAAAAAATGCTTTTAAAAGTAAAAAAAAAGCCTCTGATGATCGCGCGACTCAACTGGGATTGTCAGAGGCTTTTAAAAGAAAAAAAAGCCTCTGATGATCAGGAACTCAGCTGGGATCGTCAGAGGCTTTTAAAAGCATTTTTTAACAACCTCTTCGGCCGAACAGGTTGTAGAAAAAATGGTTTTAAAAGTTAAAAAAAAAAGTAGGCCATGCCCACTCAGTCACATTACCCCCCCATCAAGCCACGCCCACAGAACCAGTAGTAACAAATTTTACGTTTCACCACTGCCTTATACTATATTAGCTTAATACAGGTGCTCTGCTACGAAACTATGTGATTGGGCTTTGTAAATCAACATTTACAGCTTGAAAATTAATGAGTAGTTACAATCAGCTTCTCCTCTCCCCTTCTCTCCCTCAAGCTTGCCCAACAGAAGCTTCCCCTATCCTATCCCCTTCTCTCCCTCAGGCTTGCCCCACAGAAGCCTCTCCTATCCTATCCTATCCCATTCTCTCCAGAGTTATTTTCAGGTTGGGACCGGGAGTAGAACATCTAACTAATTATCATTAAAGCGTGTTAATAATAATATAAATACTAATGATCTAATGGTCATTTTGAAAAATCCTTTCTTAGCGAGCACCTAGAAGCCAAGAGTAACTTACATGCCAAAATTCAAGTTTGTAGGCTTTATGGTTCTGGAGATTTCGTGATCGTGGCGTGAGTGGTTTTCGCTTTTATATATATAGATTATAGTGAGAAATTCTTCTATTTTAGTCCTATCAAAATGAAAGGTCATATTAACTCTATAGTCATAGTGCTGAACTCATTTCAACATTGCTTAGTAAGAAAAACAATAGATTCTTTCCTCCAAAATATGACTAGGCATTATAAATTGTTCGCTTAACTCTGCTCCTTTCTTCTATTTTGCTCCAGAGATTCCTACCTTCTATTACTATTTCTCTATTTGGTTTTCAAAGTTTGGTTTACCTCATACAAACAAAACATAATCATGTAATACCACGTTTGCCTGAAAATAAGACTTATCCTGAAAATAAGCCCTAGCATATTTTTAATGTGCACCTAATATAAGCCCTACCCCCAAAACCCTACTTAAGAGCCTGTGCAGCTGGCTGCCTGCCCATTCCATCTGGTTGCTCACTGTGTCATGGCCACTAGGCAAGATAGGTGGAGCTGCCCCATGTGCCCTGCACTGGCTTACCTCAGGGCCCCTGCAACCATGCTATCTATGGCCTGACACCTGTCTTGCGGCGGTAGCACCAGCAGCCGTGTGCAGCAGGAGCTCATGTAGCCACCAGCCCACTTCTTCTGCTTGCTCACAGTTGCAACAGAGCAGGAGGTCGAGTGAAGTGCTGGTGCTCTGTGGATGGCCTGGCTGTGGGGGCCCTGAGGTAAGCTGGTGCGGGGCACTTGGGGAAGCTCCACCCCCTATCTTGCGGCGGCAACACAAGGCCACCTGCCCCCGCTGCGAACAAGCAGAAAAAGTGGGCCTCTCATACATGCAAAAAATAAAAAATAAAACACTCCCCAAAAATACACCATAGTGCTAATTTGGGGCAGAAATTACTTTTGGGGAAACATTTATGGGGAAAATCTGCTGAATGGGGAAGAGTGCTTTTATGGAAAATGAGAAGAAAGGGAAAAGATTGCATAAAGCTGTGCTACTTCATTGTTACAGGAAGAACGGAAAAGGAAAAATATTAACCTATTGTTACAAGGAACTAGAATGCAATATGGAGGCTGGACTTCAGTTTAGGATTGGTGTTTATTTCACTGTTCTAAAGAAACACTTTTTTGTCTTGAATAGAAACCCTTAGAAGCAAAGTGCAACTTATAATAGGACTATCTATCTGTTTATGTATTTATTTCGCAATTGTTTATTAGGTGCAAGTTGCTAGTACAGAGATTACAGTTCTTAGATGTGGCCCAATCCTTTTATCATAGTCCTTCATATGTCCTTTCTTTTTAACGAAACTCTGTCCCCAAGTTTTTTGTTAATTAGTAGAATTTATACTACAAGTAATAGTATTACATTATTACTATTATTTCTATAATGTGACATAGACTTATGGGGTTGAAAGGGCCATTATAGCGGAAGTAATACTTGAGGCCACTCAGAATTTTTTTAACTTTGATTTTCACTTTTAACCTGTAAAGTTTTTACTTTGTTCTTAACTCAGATTTTAATCTTTTCATTCATGTGTTTTTATTGTTTTATTATGCTGTTTTAAACTGCCAAAGTCACTTAGGTGAGATGGGCAATGCAGAAAAATTAATCAATCAATCCTGCTGGATCAGGCCAAGTCAACTTTATTGTAGGCCATTATTCAAAAATGGGTTTTTCTTGCTTTAAAGAGCTTAACCAAAGTCCCTCAGTGAGCTGAGTATCAGAAGAGGGGCGCTGAGAAGTTGGAAGATGAAATGAAAGCATCGGTGAGAAGGAAATAATATAGAATTGCACTGAGTAACTATGAATAGCAATTAATCCATGAAAGTCAAAGGTAAATGTCCACTAAGGGTTGAGAATAGCTCCACCCAGTAGGAATATTCCTTCTCAGAAGCTTCTTTTTTTCACTTGTAAGCAGTCTACTGTATGTGTATATGAGAATGGAGGCAAAAGTCATCTTATGAACTGTTAAATAATTAAGCCAGAATGAACAAGCCATGTGTGTAGAAGAGAACAGGAGGGTATTTCAAGCATGGTGAGTCATTGTTCCACATGATTATGTGCGGGTTAAGTTCAGTCTCAAACTCAAAAATAAATCTGAATTCTAACAATGCTGGATATAACTGATGTGACATTTTACAAAATTGAAGAGAAGGCAATAGCTGATGTTTCATACCATGCCATTTCTTTTTGTTGTTTCTTTTAGTTGGGACATGGATGAGCATTTCAAACTACGTAACAAAATATGAGCTTAATTTGAACCAAGAAGACACAAGCACAGCAATGGTATGTGTGTGTGTGTGTGTGAGAGAGAGAGAGACAGACACACAGAGAGAGAAAGAGGCCTCAAGTTACGACCACAATTGAGCCCAACATTTATGTTGCTAAGTGAAACATTTGTTTAGTGTGTTTGCCCCATTTTACGACTTTTGTTGCCACAGTTGTTAAGTGAGTCATTGCATTTGTTAAGGTAAACACACAATTGTTAAGTGAATGTGGATTCCCCATTGACTTTGCTTGTCAGTAGGTTGCAAAAACTGATCACGTGGCCCCAGGACACAGCAACTGTCATACACATTAACCACGTGCCAAGGATCTGGATTTTGATCATGTGACCATGGGATGCTGCAATGATCATGTGAAAAATGGTCATAAGTCACTTTTTTCAGTGCTGTTGTAACTTTGAATGGTCACTAAATGAACTGTTGTAAGTCGAGGACTACCTGTATTCCTTGTCACTTCTGGTTCAAAGAGTGGTCTACTAATATGCTTGAATTCCATTTGCTCTTTTATCCTAATTTGTAGAATGCAATAGAACAAAATACTCCCTCAAATTTTAAAACATTATTTACATAAAGGGGCGTGATAGCTCAGTGGCTAAAGACATGGAGTTTGTCAGGAAAGCTGAAAGTCCAGGTTTGATATCCGAGCTCCCATTACTTGCCCCAGCTCCGGCCCCCTTGCAGTTTGAAAGCATGCAAATGTGAATAGATACATAGGTGCCACTATGGTGGTAAGGTAACAGCATTCTGTGCACCTTTCATGTATCTTCATGCTGGCCACATGACTGTGGAAATGCCTTTGGACAATTCTGGCTCCCTCGGCTAAGAAATGAAGATGAATATTGCCCCCTAGACTCAGACACAACTGGACAGGGGAAACCTTTACCTATGTACATAAAATCTTGGTAAAGTTAAGCATAATTCCCAGTGACTACATAGACACATCTATATGTCTGTGGAGATTGTCAGTCATCCAGGTCACGGTTGTCCCAAAGGTGCTTTTTCAAGAGGCAACTGGATTTCTGGTTTTTCTTTGAAGATGTTTTGCTTCTCATCCAAGAAGCAAAACGTCTTCAAAGAAAAACCAAAAAGTCCAGTAGCCTCTTGAAAAAACACCTTTAGGATACATCTATATGGTTTTCTTAGTATTAGGATTGAAGTGGTTTGCCACTTTTTCCTTCTCAGATGTGGGTTGTTGTCTCACATCCAGATACAAACTTTGCTTAGCTGTTTCAAAATCAGGGAAGCTTGACTTGAAGCTGTTGAATCTGTCTGCAACTTCTTGAAAAGTTACTTTGGGTTGTATGGCTGCTTTCTGCATCTGCTTTCAGCATGAACTCGGTGGAAAAACTAGCTAATGAAGTTGCAGGTAGATGCTATGTTTGCATCCTTAGAAGCTCTGAAGCATCTTTCTGGAAGTGAAGCTTAAGTACACTATAACCCCGTTTTACAGATTTCCAGTTAACATATTCAACATGGCTTTATTTAGAGGCAGCCTGACTCAAAAATAACTCTAACTGGCTTAAAGAATAGATAAAAAAAGATAATATGTGTTCAGGCAAGCTGCATTCTGGACATTATAAAACACACAAATGGGCCCCACAACCATCCTATCTCAAAGCTTGGCAGAACAGCTGTGTTTTTAAAAATTTCATCATCAGGATAGGAGTTACATAAGCAACACAATTGTTTTCTTCATACAGTATGTCTGAAGCCGCTTCTAATAATGTTCTTCAAGTGCATTATTGTGAGGGATGGTGCGATGATGATAATTAAAAATCTGGTGGAATAATAGGAAATAAATTGTTGCTATTTTGCTAAGCATCTTAAAATGTTTGTTTTCCCACAAAGTTTAGCCTGAATGTTCTTCTTTACTGGATTTTATGACAGTCAACGCAATCTAAAAATTCCTACGGTTATATCTGAGATATAGTTATTTAGTAATAATTCAATGGAACTTCTAAATAAATATGTATAAAGGTTGCATTCTTCATTTAAGTCTCAGTACACATTGATTGTTTCTAGTGTGTTCTAGAGCAGGTGCTGTTTTAGAGTTTTAAGTTTGGGAAATTAATTTTGTTTCTCAATAAAACTTTCTTAATGTCTAGTAAATAGAACTTAATACGCGATGTTTCAGAAAGATATATAGAAAATCATGGAACGAAATGTCTCGGAGAACATGATTAATCATGGGTTTTTCCCAGTCTTTTCATGCCCTATCCCCTTAAACTTTCTTGATTTTTTGGCCTAACTGTCTTAGGCCAAGAAATCCCATTTCCTAGCATTGAGTGTCACTACCAGTGCAGCAGAAATTCTTTGTGTTATGTTGCATGAAATAGTATGTATATGTAGTGGAGAGAAACCCTAGGGACTAGGCCAGTTTATTTCCAGTTTTGTGGATCTTTCATGACAGAAAAGCTGGCCATCTGAAACTATTCTGTGTATGAAGTTGGCTCTATCAAGACTTGCAGAATGGAAGAGGCTATCTAAATACATTAAATAGAGTATTACATTGCACATTTATGTATCGCTAACTCACAGTTAGAAGATTATGTTACAACATCTAAGATGTATAACTTTCTTTTAAGAGACTAGGGAAGTGGTTGATGGGGGAAACAACCGGCTGCTGTTATTTACAGCCAGAAGACAGTGGGTGGTCTAAAAAGCAGCTGTAATGAACAAGCATGTCTTCAACCAGCACCATATCCAGAAAAAACAGATTTCAAGGTTCATGAATCACTGAAGATCTTCCCAGTCAAACATCTAAAACATAACCTCTTTATTCCATTCTGTATAAGAATCTTGAATACTGAGAGAATTGTGGCTGATGTTCCTTCTGGCTGCAAATGTGTTTCTGTTTTATTTTTAAAAATACAAACATAATACTTGGGTTCCATATTGCACTGGAGACCAGCTGCATGGAAGAGATGTATGGTAGTGCGGATGTATAGAAAAGGGCTTTGCATTTCTGGCAAATCCTTCTCCGGCAATCACAAGAGTTCTTTTATGTCTAATCAGCTTTGGTAAGCAGAATTTAAGGAAAGGAAGAAGGGGGAAGGTACTTACAGGTGTTTGGGATTGTTCTGGTGGCTTATCTCCTGGGATGGAGGAAGGGAAGGAGACCATGACATAATAAATTTGAACATTGTGCAAAAATTTCTAATAATCTATTTACTGGAAGCAAGGAATGAAGTGGCAAGAGGATGCAGAATCCTTCGGGGGGGGGGGGAAGCATGGTTGGAGGGAAAGAGCAAGAGATGCTAGACACTGTAATAAAAGTTAAACTGTCAATTAGAGGGACTGTTGATTGGATCTGGAGGATCAAGGCTGTAATGGACCAGCTATTGGGATTAAGTTGTTGGCTGCTGAACCCCTGAATAATTAAACTTATCTGACTGAAACACCTGTGTGGAAAAACAGTTATACCTGAAGAGTGAAAATTAAATGATTGCTGGTCAGAACTAAACAACAATACCAGCCCTGTCAGGATTAGTATAGATTTATTTACTTATTTACCATATTTTTAATTCACTTAATAACTGAGTTTTTTTGGATGGCCAGAAACATTTAAAATTATTCAAATGATGAAAAGGTGGTAGTTAAATGACAAGAAAGTGTCTCAATATTACCGTATAAAAAAGACTATTTCAATTTAGTAGGAGCCCTCAAAATCAAAATGGAACTATAAAAAATTCCTGAAAGAAGGTAAGATATGATTGCGTGTAGCAGGTATGTTTCTCTGAGGAGAGCATCCCCTCAGTCTTTCCCTATAGCTGGTTACAGCTTTTCTGCCATTGCTCTCAAGGAAGGCCTTCAAAGATAGCAGGAGCGTCAAATAACTCTTTCAAATTAGCAATGTTAATTTTTTTTAATGTTGATAGAAAATGATCTAAGTATGAAAGTCGTTGAGAATAGCACTGTAGGCGGGACTAGAGGTCAAGTAGGTCGGAATACCCATTCTCTTGGACATAACTATTTTTTTAACCTTATTTATTTCTCTCCTTTTTTAAAAAAAATAGTATTGATTAATTATTTTTCCATAGAATAAAAGATAAATTAAAATGGAAGAAAAAAATAAAAAGTACAAGTGAAAAAGAAACTGAAGAAAAATATAAATTACTTCCAAATTTCAACAGATAGATTACAATCTTACAATCCTTCCTGTTTCTTCCTCGATTTAGAATAGCTCATTTAGTGGCTGTTCAAAATTACAACGGCTGTGTAAAAAGTGACTTATGATTGCTTTTTAGACTTTTTAGCCTGACTAGGTGGCTCAGTGGCTAAGACACTGAGCTTGTCGATCAGAAAGGTCGGCAGTTCGGCGGTTGAAATCCCTAGTACAGGTCTCCTGTAAGCAGGGGTTGGACTAGATGACCTCCAAGGTCCCTTCCAACTCTGTTACTGTTATGCTGTGGTCATGAGTCGACGACTACCTGTACAAATCTTTTCAGTCCCTCATTTAATCCACATCTTTCTTAATCTTCAAATCTATAAATCATTTCATTTCTTCCTTCTTTCAGCAAAAAAAAGTCCATATGAAGATTTCCAGTCTTTCACAAAAGTTTTTGTTGGTTTTTTTTTCTCTAACCAAACAGATCAGTTTTGTTATTTGTGTGAATTGTGATGTTTCACAATCCATTCCTCCATCCACTATGAGGATTTCCTTATTCTTCCTTCACTGTGCCAATAATAATTTTGCTGCAGTCATCAGAAAGCATTATTTCTCATTCTCTTTCTGGACAGAGTTGACTTCATAATCTAGTAACTATTTTGGGTTAAGTTTTCAAATTGTCTTTGAGGAAAGCTCCTGTACATAGCATTTCCAAAATTCAGCTAAAAGCTTGCCACCTTGTTTATATCTGATGAAAGAGTATCTTTGCCTAAACAATGCAATAGCTGTCAGCTAGGTTATTTTGGCAGCAGATAAATGTTTTGAGCTAGTGGGATGATTTAGAATTTTGGGAGCAAACTGTGGGCACTCTCATAAAATGGCTGCCAGGGGGC